GACGGGTTTCTGGAGGAAGTTTAAAGAAAGAATCTTGGGAGAGTTTGAGGAAGACATTGAAGATGGAACTAGGTATTAACCTAACACAAAAGCAACTAAAAAATGAGTGGGACTTTCTGAAGAGGAAAACTCAAGTATGGAATAAACTTATAGGAATTACAGGAAACACTCATTATGATGAAGTAACAAACACTATAAATTAGAGTCCAGAGCAATGGGACGAGTACATACAGGTACATTATGTTACACAAATCAATATAATTTACCACAAATATAAATTATTTAAATTCTTTAATTTATTATGCAAAGCAATCCAGAAGCAAAACAATTTCGACACAGTCCTTTGCCCCACGCAGATGAAATGATTGCGTTATTTCATGGCATGGGAGCTACAGGAAAAGATGGTTGGGGTCCTTCAAAAGAAGGGTTGCCGGCTGATGGTTGCAAGGTACCAATAATCGATGTTGAAAATGATCAAGAAGACAAACCATCTACTTCAATCCAACCAAAAGAAAAGGAAAAAAAAGAAGCCAAGCGTCAAAAGAAAAACAACTCTGGAAAGTTAAATGATATGGATGATCATATAGCTACGGTTCTCAAAACTTTAGAAGAATCAGACGGACCAAGTATGGATGAGTGCAATAAGATTATGGATAAAATGGATTCTTTAGGAGAGACAGACTCATTATATATAGTTGCCGCTTCCATTTTTTGTGAGAGCAAGGCCTATAGGGAACAATGGGTTCGCTTAAGCTCAAAATCTGAAGAAGTTTGCAAAAATTGGATAACAATGAACGGGAAAAAGTTAGGCTTACTTTATATTTTAGAAATTTATGGTACTCTTGATGTTTTTACTTTTTTTTTTTGGGGTTTTTTTTGCTGAAGGTTTGTTATTTTTGTCTTTGAATTTTTTTCCTGAATGAATAAGTTGTAACTTGTTATTTAATGGTATTTATTACTGAGTTGCAATATTTTCAATTGCTTAAATTATTCATTAATGTATTTTTTGAACATATGTTATCTGAAAAGAAAAAAAAGTTGCTAAAGATTTTAGCAATAATATTAATTCTAAAAAAGCTCAGAATTAGACGCATTGGACGCCGACCAGATACAAATTCAGCATTAACAAGCACTGCATATGTTGAAGAAATTATTGGAGGAAATCCATCACACTCAATGGATATGTTGCGTATGGAACTACTAGCATTTATGCGCCTACGTGGTCACTTTCGGACTAGATGTTGGATAACTGATAGTAGATACATTTCAGTCGAAGAAAAGATAGCAATGTTTCTTACAGGTGTAGGTTTACACCATTCAACTCGTGCAGTAAAACGAAGATATCAACATTCAACTCAAACAATTCACACGTACTTTTATGAAGTGCTTGAAGCTATGCTTAAATTTTCAAAGGAGATGATTGTTCCAAATTTCAATCCAAGTGTATTCGACAGTCAATGTCAACGCCAAATTCGGGACACATTTTTTCTGGTGAGTTTTTAATGTTATATTTATTATTTTTCATAGCTTCTATCACTATCTATTTTGGATACCGTGAACTAATTTGGCTTTCATGTTTTCTCTATATATTTAAGGGTGCAATTGGTGCTTTAGATGGGACTCTTATAAATGCAGTCATACCACGTGAACAAACTCCCTATCGAGCGAGAGGTAAAGGAGAATGTTTTCAGAATGTACTTGCAATTTGTGATTTTGACATGGTCTATACCTTTTTGTGGGCTAGTTGGGAAGGAACCGCACATGATTCTAGAGTGCTTACAAAAATTATGCGAGATTCAACGAGTAATTTTTCTTTTCCATCACCAGGTAAGTTTTTATTTTAACTGATTTTAATTCTATAATTAATTATATAACTTAATGATATTTAAGTCAAACATTTCTTTTATTGTAGGAAAATATTATTTATGTGATGCAGCTTATCCTCTTACTTGTGGATTCTTGACACCCTACCGTAATGTCAGATATTGGTTAGCAGACTTTCAATCCGGTGGACGTGCAAGAACAAAAGAGGAAAAATTTAATCAAGCTCATGCCCGATTGAGAAATGTAGTTGAACGAAGTTTTGGCGTACTAAAAAGACGTTTTCCAATCCTGAAAACAATGTCACCGTATCCATTTCCAACTCAGAGAAACATTGTCATTGCGTGTGCGACTATTCACAATTTTCTTCGCAAAATTAGCTCTACATATACTTGGTTCGAAGAATTTGAAAATGAAGATATGATATTTGGCAATGATCAGGAATCAGAATTATTTGAAGGTGATGTAGCAGCTGGACCATTCATAGGTGGAAATAGACAAGCTGATAGGAATTTTATGATCAATTTTCGTGAAACAATAAAAAACCAATTTTAGGATGAAAGAAATATAATTATAGTTTAATTTGACTCTTGATATTTTTAGAATAAGTTTTTTAAATTTGTAAACTTTTAATTTGAATTTGAAATTTTTTGTATCATTTATATAGTTTAGTTAATTAACCTTTTATGTAAACTAATTTCTTCCATTAAATAATAAGATTGTAATAACAAGTTATATAGTATATTATAATTAATTAAAAATCTTCAAATTTAAATATAAGGACAAATTGGTAATTTTTTCTATATTCAGACTTCAGACATATCATATTATCAAACAGTCTAGATCAAATCAGTGTTTAGATTCAGATATTTGAATTTACCTAATTCAGTCATTCAGATTCAGCCACTTATTTAATTCAGCTTTCAGTTTTCAGATTTCAGATTTCAGATTTCAGACTTCAATTTTATCAAACGGAGCCTTAATCCTATTGATGTTTACAGAAGAGGAATCCTCATTTGTCAAAAACTCATCCGCAAAGTTTTGACTCTAGTTGGACCATCTTAAACCCTAAATCCCAAGCGATCATTTTATGGTATATGAATGCACCCCAAAATTCAGCTTCCAGGCTAGTGCAACAATGCTTAATTTTGAATAATTAATAGTGAATTAAAAATATTGAATTTATTCAGCACCATTTAATTCATTAAGAGATTTATTTTTATTATCAAATATGCTGAAATAAAAAAAGTACTTAATCTAATAATTGTAAGAATCAAATGATTTTATCAAACAAACCTTAAGTCAATAAATAAATTCAAGATCTATTGACTACATCATTCTTGAAATGAGAATTTGGACGAGTATAAGAGCCGGCCATGTGATAATGGATTATGTCACTCGTTTGGGCTGGAGTAGACCCAAATTATCCAAAGCCTAACCCAATTTTTGCCACGGTGCTTCTTATTTCAACAATTATTATCAATTGCTAATTCTATCGGAACACAAGAACAATGGTTTGTTAATTGTTTGTAAATTGTAATGCCTTGTTTATTGTATTAACATAAAAGAAATTTTGAGACTGAAAGAAATATAATTTTTTTTTTGGGTAACTTAACTCATTAGAAATCGGTGTTAATCTGGTGCATCCATTAGAAAATCATGAGGGAAATACTATTTGTTGCTGGCTTTTCTCCGTCTGGTCAGGCAATGCCATTGCATATATGCTTGATGCACTTAGGGTTATCAACAAATCGAGACAAGCCTAAACAGTTAGGTGCTCGAGGTCAAGTTCGACAAAAAATGTGGAGCTCGTATTCGAGTTCGAATTCGGTCGAACATCTAAATTGAAGTTTGAGTTTGGCTTAAAATAAAAACGAATAGCTCGCGCTTGGCTCGAGTTTTTGTGTCTGATAAAAATTAAGCTCGAATACTTGATAATATTGAACTCGAATAAATTTTAATACTTGTCATTTTTAATTCAACAAGTTCAATTTATATATTCTATGAGCAAAATTCTTTGACAAATCATAAAAAATATGTATATCCTATTATTACATCTTCAAAATATTAAGGACAATAATTTTTAAGAAATAAAAAGAAAAGTTTTCATGAATTATATATAATTCATAATAAAAATAAAATAATTTATAATAAACTCGAATAGGCTCAATGAGCTCTCGAATCAAGTGTATTGATGCTCGTGTTCGACTTGTCTATCTAATCTAACTAATCGAATTCGGCTCTAATTCGGTCAGAGTCGAATTTAAGTCAAGTTTTGACCAAGTTATTCGCGAACTGCTCGCGAAATGCTCGGTTTGTTGACAGCCCTAGATGCACTTTGAAGTTTGATTCATTTATTCGCAATTTATCCTCTCTTTCTTCTTTTTTTTTTGGTTAGGAAATAAAATTTCACATTTTTTGGGTAGAAGATATTCTCTCCATTCCAATTCAATAGGTCCATTTAGACATATACGGAGATTAAGAAAAAGTGGGTAATGTAGTTTATGTAATTAATTTTAAATAAAATTCCTATTACACCCTTATTAATGACTAGTGAGTTATTAGTTGATAACTTGATACGAGAGAGTAATAGTTGAAATTTCTTAAATGTTATTGATTTTAGTGAAAGTGGGAAGGATATATTAGAAAGTTTATAGAAAAAATTAATTAATTGTTTGAAATAGGACTAAGTTTTGAAACATCTCAAGAGGAAAAGTGAGTATATTAAAATGGAATGGAGGGAGTATCACATTTATATCCTAAACTACTATTTCCAGCTAACTAGGTCAAACGAAAATTTTGCAATCCGAAAGGAAGGTGAATCATAACGACGTTAACCATTAGATTTTGTGTTTGAATTTCCGATAAAAGCAAAATTGTGTATAAAACTTAAAATCTAAAAATAGATTGCAGAATTCAAAGTGTTTTTTTTTTTTTTACCACATACATCCTTTGTTGTTTACAGATAGTGGGCCACTAATGTTTTGCTTTCTCTCAGAGGCATTTGTTCAAAAAGCTTCGTTGTTGTTATTGGGTAAAGATTTCAACCTCAGCGGCTACTTTTTTGATGAATTATTCCCCAGAGAGACTTTGCTATAAAACCCACTTCCACAGTGTTGAGTGAGTGAGAGGAGAGTGAAAAGAGGGCACTTTGATTTTAAAAAAAAGGGGAGAGCAGAATGGAGAAAGCTCTGACTAAAGTTGAGAGCATCAAAGCTGGAAGCTTTTGGCTTACAAAGAAAGCTAAGCAAGAATTCTCCAACATCTCTGAAGATTTCAGTGTAAGAAATGATTACCCTTTTTGGATTATCTTCTTTTTATTCTCTACATCTGTAATTTGGATCGTTTGTATTCCCCATTGAATGTTTCTAGTACTAGTTTGGTGTCCATGTTTTTGGGTGTTTTGATTTGTTGTTGATTAAGAGATTAACTAAACCTGCTTAGTAATCAGGGTTGTTTGTTGTTTTCCTTCTGTAATTATGAATAATGTAAAATGAAAAGTTCATATCTTAAAAGTAATTTTGCCCCAAAAACAACAGAAGGGATTCTGTGCAAACTGCAAAGATGATGCATTTCAGAATTGGGTGAATGTTTCTTTTCTTATTGTTGTTCAATATGATAAATCACATCTACCCAGGTAAGATGAAGCCCTAGGCAAGTAAAGAACCCTTACTGGAGTCGATTTTAGGGAAAATTTACCTTTAAGAATCTTCATCAAGCTCTCAGTAGTGTAAACTGTAAAACGGTTAAGAAAGGAAAAAAGAAAAGTCTAAACCAGTTACACTTCTTATGAAGATGGGTAAGGCCTGCCTCCCTTTTTTGGGACAAACAATTGAACAAAATATAATGTGGCTCTGCTTTTTCAGAAGTTACCTTTAAAGTGACCCGAGAGTTGAGAAACAAGATGAACAATGTTGAATGAAGGTTGATGCACAAGTAGTTACTTTCTGGTGTGATGTGCACTTATAATTTATTGCTACTTATAAACGATTTCTGCCTTCTGGTACTAATTCGACAAAAACAAGAATGGTACCAGCATAGTTTTGTTTCACTTGCAGCAAATATATAAAAGCCTTGCTGATTCAACTAATTGAAGCTTTCATTTTCTCAGACTTTCTCAAATACTGTTGAAGAGAAGGCAAAATGGGTTTTCAACAAGCTAAAAGGTAATGTTTGCTACTCCGCTTAACGTAATCAATTCTGACTGCGGCTATCTGTATGTTCTTAGTGTTATGATCTGGAATCTACTCATATTTTCCCAAACCTCAAAGCAAGCATTTTGATTATGATACATGTGGTTTGCTAACAAACTTGTCTGAAACATGTTGACATTCGCCATTTGTTTTATAGTGTTGAATAATGTGGCCTATGAACTTAATAACAATCTTGAGGGTAATCATCGACTTGCTCAAACTGTTGCCATTTTTACTCTTTGCTCCAGGGAAGCCTCTGAAAAGCTTACCAGTTCTTCTTCAGGAGTACAACCTGCCTCCTGGTCTCTTTCCCATCAATGCAACAAGCTATGAATATGATGAATCGAAGTCCAAGCTGACTGTCTACTTACCTGCCGCTTGTGAAGTAAGCTTCAAGGACTCCTCCACAATAAGGTATGCCCCCAGGGTCAAGGGCATCCTGATGAGGGGTAAACTGACAGGCATTGAAGGAATGAAGACAAAGGTCTTGGTTTGGGCTAAAGTGACCACTGTAGGGGTTGAAGGCCACAAGTCGGACAAAGTATCGTTCACTGCAGGTGTCAAGAAATCAAGGCCGAAGGATGCTTATGATGTTCCTCAGGTTGCCATTAGAATCAAAGAATTTTGATGTTAGAAGTTTAGAATGTTAGTATGCTTTGATTCTCATGATCTTCATGATTCAATTAGAAGTGGTAACTACTGGTGTTAGAATGCCATCAGTTAGCTTAACTTCTTAAGTGCTCCACATGCGGTAGTTAGTTGTTCTCTCCCTTATCACAAGGCAATGCAATTCGTTTCTTTTTCATTGGTCGAACAAGTAATGCTGATGTTATAATGTAAGAGCCCTAGAATTATATTCCTAAAATTTTATTCTGATGTTCTGCACAGCAAAATATTTTCCAGAAGTCAGGATACAGAACTGCAAAACGCATTTCATTAAATTATTTGAGTGCTCTATACATTATAAAGAGGAATCTACTAGTATATTTTAGCAAAAGGTGAACTAACCAAACTAATCAATATCTGTTACTATAAGATTCTCATAGAAAGAATGCACTGAATTCCAAATGGCCAAAAAGCCAGAACATATACTGCTTTGTTAGAGTGTATTAATGTGCCTAAGATCTGCAACCTTCCTCGTGTGGTACAGACTTCCGAGTAATTATGATCACATCACAACAGCAGCAGCACCAGAATCAAAAAACATCTCGTATGCTGTTACTGCATTAGATATACTCAGTAAGACCACGATGACCCACTCCAGAAGATTGCTCCTCCTGTTCTGGAGAACTTCTTGGAGAAAATGAATATTATGCTGCAAGAGAAAGTAACTCGATCAAATTTATGCATGCCAATTACCTTTTAAATCGACAGACTTCTATGATGATTCATATGCTATAGAAGACAATCACTATGCCAAACTAGCATGACAGCTCGAAAAAGCATCTGAAAGTACATAAAAACACAGAAAATCTAAAAATGCAAGATCAAGTCTAACATCCACAACCACAAGAGCACGGATTTCGAATCATATTTTCACAAGAACACATCATCAACTTCTCAGAAAAAAATATAGCAGTTATTAAGTTACATAGCAACCATGAGCAAGACAAATATATAGCAGCCATAGCACACAAAAGTGAGACTGACCTCAACAAATTTTAGCTTAAAATTGAGGTTTCCAAAACGTTGTGTGACCTCGTATTCCTCCCGAAGATATTCATATATCTGAGCATATTTAGCGTCCCTCCAAGCAATTTCTGATCTGGAAGGTAAAGTCATGGAAGAATGGTTCAAAAGACACACAAAGGTGAACAAAGAAAAATAATTTGAACAAGAAGTAAATTGAAAAGGAGTAATGAAATTACAAAACCAGCTTGATACTACAGAAATTATGAGATAAACAAACAAAACTTCTTTTGCAGCATATTGACTCCACCACATTATTCAAAAATCAAGTAAACATATCAGGAGAGTGGAGCTTTAAATATATTGATCAACATTCTTTCATCTCATGCAAGCGACACATAATAATATAGACGAGCAATATAGTTATAAAACAATCTATGAAATCTGTAATAGAAACACAAGATCGTACAACCACAAGTAAACTAACCAATTCATTGCCCCTTCCCTTTTCCAGAACTACATCACCATTTTCCTTCTATCACTGAGCAACCAAGCTCTATGCGTAATGTGTTCTGCTATGATGCAATAAGCTAAGTACATTTCACAAGGAAAACAACCATTTTGCAACTTTGAGTTTTCTTAATGATAATGCCTAGCCCATGAACATAAGTCTTGCACATCGAAGACATGAAAAGAAAAAACAAAAAAAGCATATTACCTATCAAAGAGGCCAACTTTAAGAATCACGTCTGCTAGATTCGAATTAGCCTTCCCAACAAGTTGAAATAGCTTTTTGCGGTCCAGAGTAAAAGTTCCAGTTCTCTCCATCCCACGATTTATATGTGTAAATTCCTCAACCATACCATCCACCTAATTATAAGGACAATTCACTATCGAAATGATAAATTGAACAAAAAAAGAGTTCCTTTTCCAGATATTTATTAAACCAGTTTAGCATAGAGAAAAAATAAAAAGATTCTTTCTCACAATCTCACCAAATGCCAGACAATCTCAATGTCAGGTATACTGAAATAGCTCAAGAAAGTTACCTGAGAAACAAAATAGTCCAGAGCAATACTTTGCCCAAGCACACTGCTAATTGTTCGAATGCTATCAATGTCAAGATCTTTTACAACTACGCAGTCCATACCTCCCTCCATATCCTTCTCCATCTGGGGATTTTCTTTGACAGTATAATCTGATGCATAACAGAAATTGAACCCAAGATGAATTTTTTTACCCTAAATTGAAAGATAACAGAGATTCAAAGATATATTGATATCTCATGATCTTTAAGTAACAGAAACAATTCAAGAATGCAAGTGAATGCAGGATGAAATCAGACATTATAATGAATGCAACTTACCATCTTTTCTCATTTCAGGAAGCAAGCCAGACGCATATCTTCTAACAAGTTGCAGGTGAGTTTCGACTTTATCATCCGCCACATTGAACAGAACTATTGAACCATAATGGAACACAATCATATACTGAGAGTCATTTGAGATCCCTCTAGCTTCCATGCCCTAAAGCAAACATTTGCACTTACAATTAGACTGATAGTTTCCTCATACTTACATTAATATATAAGATATTATCATACAGATCAAATTATGTTCTCATTGTTTCATAAGCCAAAACATAGTAACTAAATCTCGCAAATTGGAGGACAAGTTTTACATTGAAACCAACATTGGCTTATGCACAATTGACTAAGAATACATTTGGGGGAACAAAAATATTCATTAGAAATACCCTTTAACCGCCTTTAATTTCATAATTATTAACTCAAATATCTGCTTTGGCTCAGGAAGTTCCAACCTTTTGATTGCAAACAATGTTTGAACCTTTTCATTTTCAAAGGCACTTCACTCGAAGCTACTGTCCCCCTCTCGTTACTTGCTCATTATATGTATTTCAGGCATAAAGCAATAAGCATTTGAAACAAATCACGCGTATGCTGTCAAGGAGGCAATGAAATAGAGGGGAATAGGCAACAATACAGAAGGGACAAGAAAGATTATTGAATTATATGCATCAGTCAACAATCCTTCTTACAGGCATCATGGGCTGAGGGTCACAAAATCTGAGTGCGATGGAATTTGTTGAACGAGATGTTGGAATGACAAAATTTCTTAAATTCTCGGCTTGCATGCTCTTCAGATCAATACTGCCAAAAAGATGAATCTGAGAAAAATATAAAAAAGAAAACACAACTGACTAAAACAGAATACTAGGGAGATGCCAGAAGCAAGTACGCTCAGATGATTCAACCCTTTATAACACAAAGAATTCACATAAATCACCTAGTTAAATATGAATGGGATAACATAATTCAACCTACAAATACAGCAGAGAGGATCCACTTCGAAAATTTTTGGATACTCTTGCATAATTAGCTTCGCGAAGAAAGGGAATGAAACACACTGATAAAAGAAGCTTCTGAGGGCATCGGTAACATAATTTCTCTGTCCTGAAGTGATTGTCTAGTTTTTGTACTACTTTCATTACAACAAACGCAACAATCATGTTGGGGGCAAAGGAAGTATCTGGAGTTCAATAATAAAGGAGAAGTTCTTTGCAACAAATCAAATCCAGAAATCCATAGGCCACTCCGCAGGCAAATTGGGTTGAATATGAGAATAAACAGAGTACATCCAACTGCCTAGCATTATCAACTAAATACTAACCGAATCAATCATCCTCCATTGTAGCAGAAAACAAGTGACATGAGCAAAACTCCTTTTGAGTATTAAAGAAAACAAAAACAAAAAAAAGAAGAAGAAGCAAACTTTATAATATACAACCAATGCTAGTTTCAGCCCCTTAAGGCTATTAGAACAGAAACCTTGCACTTTTAAACTCAGTTGTGGAACAACTGCATTCTAAACCACACCAATTTTAAGTTTACCAAGATCATCAAGTATCGCCAAACGCACAAATCACGGTGGCATGAAATAGCTTTAAGCCCATTAAAACTTTAAAGTCCCACGGACAGATAACAAACAAAAGTATAGCACACACGAGAACGTCAAAAGACAACCAACAAGGCCTCCTCACATAATTCGTATACTTAAGTTGAGGGATATCAAAACCATAATCACGGAAACACAAAATGATGAATTGAACCTTGTGGAAAGAAAATATGCTTTGATTGGGATTTTCCCAATGTTTTCGTCTTCGTCTTCGTCCAAGTACGAGGAACGATAATCGTCGGAGTCTTGTTGATGGGGTTGTTCATGGTGAACGTCGACATACTGCACGGCGGAGGAAGAGGCGCCAGAAAATGGTCTAAAATTGGAAAGCTGAATTCTGGATTTAGGAAAAAATGGTAATATGTTAGGGTTACTCTTTTGGTTGAGGATTTTAGCTATGGTGGCTATGGCGAGGGAAGCTCTCCATCTTCCCATCTACGCACACTGTGGTCTTACAAAAGGTTGAATTAATGTGAACCATAACCTGAAATTGTAGAGGCCGAATAATGGGAATAATCGATGATTATTTATCTTATGAATCCTCGTAGTTTTGTGAAAGGGTCGTAACTGAACCCTATGATTTCAGTTTTTCTCTATCTTCCACAAAAATAATAGTAGTGTAAATAAATAAAACATATTTTACGAACATTTTGTTGAGTTTTTTTTTTTTTTTAACCATAAATGAGTGACAATTATATTAAAAAATACAAGTACGAACAATATCATTTTGTTGAGTCAAATGCTTAGGGTATGTTTGTTTCGTTGTTTCAATGTGCGTTTTTAAGTGTTTTTTTTTATTGAGAATGTAAAAAATTGTATTGAAAATGTAAACAGGTATGTTGGGATGGGACTGTTATTAATTACTAATTCTTGAAAAATCATAAAAAAATTAAACAAACAAAGCCTTAGATTTTATGTTATGTGAATAGAAAAGGAAATAATATTGTGATACTTTCTCTGACAAAAGGACTAGAATCAATACCTCATAATTCTATATCAACACAAAATATACAGAAAGTAGTTACGACACGAAACTAATAGTTAGAGCTCTCCCAATGAGCAGTAACTGGTGCTTGAAATGTGTGTCAGTTACTTGCATTCATTTGGCTACCGTGAACCATTTAAAGGAATACACCCGTCTATTCTACAATTATTCCTCTTTCCTACCCAATAAGTCAAAAAATGTGGGTCTAGCGCAAAATGAAAGACACAAAAAACTTGTCACAAAATGAAAAAAATAGTTGTTGTTAAAAAAAAAAAACAAAAAACAAAAAGGAATAGCTGCGACAAAGTGCCCTGCAATGGTGGACCAAAACGGTCTCATGTTTTACCACATTTTTTAGTAATTACCATTTTTTCGTAGAAAAAACTATTTTACTTGTCACTGTCAAACATAGTAATGTGTAAAAGTTTAGGACACATTTTACCAAGGAGTATTGAGGATGCTCTCAATATACAATTATCTTGAAATTCGTGATTATGAATTTTGGAACGCCAGTAACATGAGTGGTAATTTACACCACCTTGAGCATGATCCTTTTTTTTTTTAGAGATAAATGAAAAATTAAGGCATTAGGATCAATCATATTAAGTTTATCACGTATAAACACTCATATATCCACTGAATTCATTGTTGAAGTACTTACATTGTTAAAATCTCATTGTGTTAACTCCTTTAACGTTCATTTTATATGAAGAATTCGTTGAGTAACTCATAATTGTTATTAATGTAGACTCAAAATGATAGCGGAAAACAAATTTAAATAATTTTATTTTAGTATATTTCGTTGGAGGGCTACACTAGAAGTTATACTTAGTTATGAATTAGGACCCTTCTACTGAAAATAAAATTCTTACTTATAGTGGTCTGATGATTTTATGTTAATCGGATAAAATTTGATTGTCCAAAACATTCGTGACAAATTAGGCAATGCATGAAACTACAGGGACAAAAATTGCATTAAAAATCGTGTGAATGTCAACTAAATACGACGGCGTACAATAAACTTTACCAATTACTAGTACTTCAGTCTTTACGCCAGTGAGCATCTACCCCGAATGCAGTTCCTCCATTTGGTGTCACAACATCAGAAAATCAGCCAACCTTGACTTCTGTAAACCCTAATTTCTTGAAGGGAAGTAAAAAAAAATTCAGTGAGAGAGAGCTACAAAAGTAATGGCGGTATCAGGGGATTTGAGAGTCACCGCATCTCTTGGCCCACATTCAATCAACCCTCTTCCCCGCTGTTCGTTTCCACCCTCGAAGGTATACTTTCTTAGCTCCTCGCTTCATTGTGTTTTTTGGGGTTTTTCTTTCTTTTTTTTTTTTTTTGAAAATATCTTTCGGTACTGCTAAATTAAAATACGAGCTCTTTCTGTTGCATTTCAAGAGGGCCGGCTTGATTGACTCGATTGGAAATTGGGTTTTATTTTAACCTCATTTTAGCCCGAAGTCATTGATAATCACTGTTATTGACTTAGATTACAGTTCGTTTTCCCTGATTGGAAAATATGGTTTCAGTTTTCCGGGATAAGGTATTGTCGACTTGTTAGTTTTATGAAGGTATTGACAGACATTGTAATACCTGGGATGCATCTCGCCTGTGTAAACTTTTCATGCTAAATTTGGAGGCAGATGATAGACTTTGTCGTAGTGTGTGAGAAATTCTGTTGCATTGCTTATACCTTCAAGTAGTATGATTTGAATTTGTGATTAATAGACATTCACAATAGCTGTAAACTGTCAAAAGAAGCAATGCATTCGATCTCAGTGTTCGATGAGTTTGTCTGAACTTGATATGGTATGAACTGCTTTGTATCAGTGGAAGAGTAGAAGTTTTAGGGTTGAACTTTAACACTGTATGCTCAGAAACTTGGAAGATATTTCGAAGAAGATGTCCTGGGAACTTCATGGTTCTTTAGGGTTTCATAAAGATTAATGCTTACATTGATAATGGGTATTGCAGGTAGAATTTGGTTCTTTCCATTACGGTGGTGGATCGACAGTGTTTGAGGCAACACCTAAATTGTCTCGTGCAGCAGTTGACGGCCACAATTTTCGTTGCCATGCCAAACGAACTCTTGGGATCTTTGGAGAAAACAAGCAGTCTTCAAGTGCCGTAAGCCAGGAACTTGATTACTTTCTACATAATGCCATAAACATGAACTTTTTCGAGCGGTTGAGTCTGGCTTGGAAGATAGTATTTCCTTCTCCTGCCACAAGAAGGAACTCCAACGCAAACATTGCCAAGCAACGGTTGAAGATGATCCTCTTCTCTGATCGATGTGCTGTGAGTGATGAGGCAAAGCAGAAAATAGTTAGTAACATTGTAACTGCCTTATCCGATTTCGTGGAGATAGAATCACAGGACAAGGTTCAACTGAGTGTGTCAACAGATCCAGACCTTGGGACTATCTACTCAGTCACAGTGCCTGTTAGGCGTGTCAGACCTGAATATCAAGAGGATGATCCCACCGGGCAAATTCTGAATGTTGAGTACAAAGACAACGGCGAAAGTTCTGGTTCAGTTGATGTCAAATTCGACTTCTACATCCCTGAAAAGTTCAATGATTTTAGTGTGTGAATTGAAAGTTCCTGCATGGAAAGAGGAATGAAGAAACTGAAGCAGAAGAAACACAAATTATCCTGTTGGCCTAATATAATGTCACGTTTTAACTTCTCATTTTTGGTTTTCCCTGGAATTGGAACAAGCTTGTTGCCTTGTTGCTGTTGTATATATGTAAGAATTTCTGGCTTTTTAGTAGCTGTTTCATGTTTGAGCGATTTTACTAGCTGTGTTTTTTTTTTATGGAAATGGTTTCCTACCTGTGTTAAAATCAAGACGCTTCAAGTTCCTGCATTGCACTTCATTTTGTAGGGATATTGTGAAATCTGAGAATTCTTTTTCGACCTAACATTTGGATTGAGATGGGCCATTTACTAATGAATGCCCAATGGGCTCCTGCAAGGTTTCGATTTAGGAATGGGCTAAATCCATTTGTGATATTTTCATCGCTGAAAAATTTGAAAACATTGATGAAGCGCCAAATCAAGGCAAATTCAATTTCTGCAAGCGCATGAGACGACGTCGTACTCGTACACGGAGAAAGATTCTCCGTTTTTCTTCTCCTCCAAATTCCGAGCCTAAATTCAGCACTTCTTCTTCTCAAATTGGGAATACAGTATGAAACAAAGGGAATTAAATCTCAGTGGTAACCCGATTCGGGATGCCATTTCCAGAATCCGATTCGCCCCGCATTCCAACAATCTCGTGATTTCTTCTTGGGACTCGGTAAGCTCCTTACTACTTCATGCTGTTTAAACCTTTTCAGCTTCACAGCATTTGACAGTTTCCCCTCTCGTTTTTGGTGTGTGACTGTGTGCAGAGTCTTCGTCTGTACGATGCTGACAAGAATAAGCTAAGATTAGAATCTTCTTGCGGCCGAGAAGCTGCTGGTCTTACCGATTGTTGTTTCCAGAGTGAAACTGTAGCTCTTTCGGCGGCTTCAGATGGTGCCATTTGCAGGTGCAGTAAGCTTCAATGGTCGTTATGGAATAATTTGAGGGTTATGTTAAATTTCGTTCCTTTGATGTTGCTCCCCTCATATTTTAGTAAATTCTATTTGTAATCTGGTTTATCTTTGGTTCAACGAATTTTTTGTTGTTTGTTGACTCATTGAATTTTTATTGACTCCTTGTGTGGGGGATTTTATAGGCATGATTTGGGTACCGGAGTTGATAATCAAATTGGGAACCATGACGATTTGGCTGGTTGTGTTGAATTTTCAGATGAAACAAGTAAGTTCATTGTTCATTTATCACAAAGTATACAGCTTTCTGTATAATTTTCGTGTCTTTTATTATTGTGTTTCCTGCTATTTTGCTGCCAAAATTGCATATTCTTTAATAAACAGAGGAACTCATTTCATTTTTTTTTTTGTTTAAATTTATATTTGGCTCAGATAGTTGCACCTCCTTTCTGGAATTTTGGATATTTTTGAAATGGGAGAAGTCCTTCAAAACAAATATGAGTTACTTGACGATGCTCATTTTTGTGGAAATTTTTCCTATTTTTTGCGCGCATCTCCTAGGTTCTAGGTCGCTGACTCATTTTCTCTTCTCTTGATTGCCCCAGACCTTGTAATCTCCGGTGGATGGGACAAAAAGATAAGATTTTGGGATACACGCTCAGCTGAGTCTATTGGAAGCTTGGACAATCAAAGGACGGAAGTGGAGTCCATATCAATCTCTAGATTCCAGTTGATGGCTGCTGTCGGGTCATCAGTAAGCACATATGACTTGCGCAACTTAAACAAATTAGTTCAACCGAAACAATTTCATATGAACATTGAAGTAAAATGTGTCCGTTCACTTCTTGGTTTTGAAGGTAATGTAACAAGGTTCTTTTCAATCGTCTGATGCACTTGTCACACAAAATTTAACATGTACATTTTAAAGCCTAATCTAGAATAATTTTACTGATCCTGTATACAAGCCTTCTCTATTATCTGGTGCTTTTGGTTAAGTTTCCACCTCTCTGCAAGACCCAAGTTTCCATATCATGGCATTTCTCTTTCTTCAGATTACAAGCATATGCTAACTTCCACGTAATGCAGGCTTTGCTTTGGGATCAATGGATGGGAGAGTTGCTTTAAAGTACACCGAGATAAACGACGGCAGTAGAGGGTCAGTCAAAGTTTCTATTTAGTTAATATATTTAAAATGACTTCTTTTTGGAAAAGAATTCAGAAACTTCCCCTTTAGACAGTATGAGTTTTGTTTCTAGTCTCTGTCATTAAATGGATATTTCCATCACGGAAAACATTTGATTTGCAGAGTTACTAAATGTTTTCACAAGATGAAAGCTAGATTCCATGCTTCAATCCCTTCTTCCCTTCACACTAGTTCATATTAAGAATCTAGGTCCTTGGAATTGCTGCACCATTATCAGTTTTAGCATAAAATTGAGGTTGATAGCGAGGTTTCACTGAAGGGAGCTGGGAGTTTCTGATTGTTGCCTCTGATCAGTTAGATTTCTATGAGAATTACTATTCACCATTTTGTTTCTGAACTTCAGTCTCTAATGTCTTCAGTATGATTAGTTACTTACTGCCTAGTTACTTTTTTGCAGATATGCATTCCGATGCCATCCCAAGGAAAAGGTTGGAAAATATCATCTTGTTACTGTGAATGATATTGCATTCAGTCCATCGTATGTGGTTTGTTTAATATTGTTCTTGTCTTTAGGAATGGTTAAAATTTTCTAGTCCCTTTGGATGACCAGATTCTACGATTTTCTTTTTCAGCTTGTCATCAATTTTTGCCACTGGTGATAATGAAGGTTATGCTTCATTATGGGATTCTCAGAGCAAGAAACGACTGTATGAGGTATTGTTATCCGTCTCTCTCTCTCTCTCTCTATATATATATATATATATCACACACGCACATTGAGAGAAAGCGTGATTCCTTAATTGCAAACTTGTGGAGATCAAGTGAAAGAAACTACTGAGCATGAGGCTTTGTGGCCTGCAAATATTCACATTTAGGTTTTCCTTATCTATGTCTTTGTCAATCCACCAAAGCTTTGATGTTGTCTTAGTGCTTGTACTTTGCAATCAATGAGGGTCTTCTGATTATCATCACAGAAAATGTACAAGTTAAAATATCGTCGCCCGTGCATCCATGTTTGACTTCACCTGTTAGATGCTCTATCTGTTTATTATATCATTAACTTGTCTGTTCCTTGAAATGCTGACACGTCTTCTTTTTCAGTTGCCAAAATTTCCCAATTCTATTGCTTCATTGTCATATAACCACAATGGACTACTGTTGGCGGTTGCATCGAGTTACACATACCAGGAAGCTAATGAAAGGTTAGGAGATTTGTTTATGTATCTTAAGAGTAGTGGGTTTGTCGATGTTTGTTCATCATTTGGCAGAGGTTTGTTGTTGTATATATTGTATGCTAAGTATGCAGTGATGATAGAAGTCGCGTCGACTAATTTAGCTGCTGCATTTAGTGCCTTTCTAGACATGGTGTCCTTTTCTTTTCCATCATGTTGACAGTAGCCTCTGGCTTTTGGTTTTTCATATCTGTAAAAGAAGATTCAAATTATCATGATTGCCGGACTGCATCTATGTCCTAGAGAGGATCGTTCCTCTTGAGATTAGATGGTAGCTTCAATTTTTCCAATCATAAACCAACTCATATTGGACTTGATACACACTGATGCTAGAAAAGCTCCATTTTCCTAGAGTGACATACTGAATTTTAAGTGCACCAAATAAACCTAGTCAACGTAGTCGCACTTTATCTGGATTAGTTATCCCACAGTTCTCTCTTCCTTTAGGCTGTATGTCTGGGAAGAACCTTGAATTTTGAGCTTAGTATGTAATGGATTCGCCTCCATTTGTGCAATATGTAATGTAACAGGTCCACTTCTGTTTGTTCCCTTGTCAAACATGAGATAGCGCTGACTGAAAATTTGTGCTTTTTTCTTTGGTCAGGGAAGAAATTCCCCAGATATATGTGCATGAAATGGGGGAACTCTACGATGGATCACTTTCAGGTGGAAGCTGCAAGTAGTACACCAGTTGATTAGATATCATTATTGGTTAACAAGCACATTGCTCAGTAGACCTAACAGATGGTACCTCCTAAATGTTTAGGTCGCTGTAAGTCCATGATTTTGTATTAGGTTTCCTTGTTGGCTGTAATTCTATTGAAGATAGATCAGTTAAGGAGAATCTGGTGGGGGAAGGGAATTGCGGGTCTTCAGAACTTGTAGTATTAGTGCACATTGATGTAACATGTGTAGTGAAAAACGTGGGCATTTTGGAATTGGATTTGGTTGATTCTTCCTTATCATTTTGGGTAGTAGTACCACTTTTTATTTTTTGTCCATCTTACCCTCTTTTTCATAGAGTAATTTTTTTGCAATTATTTAATCTGGCATATTTTTCAAAAGGACAGCTCAATGATATAATTCGTACTTCCACTTTTGACAATTTTGTGGTATGGATTTCAATAAGTTTTAGACCATTGGAAGCAACTTTTACCAACTCAACCTTTTAATCACAAAACACTGCCTTTGTTTTTTTTGAGGATCGAGTTTGTTGTTTTCATGAGCTTTTATATTCTGTACATTTATTTTGGAGGTCTTGTTTACGCATACTTTCGTTGGTTCTCAATCAAAGGGGTTATTCTTGGGGCTAGATTTTTTTTTTTTTTTTTCATATTTGTAGAGTGTTCACCGTCGGCAACAGTGACTAATTCCCTCGCTAAATTGTAGACACTTATGGGTGGGACAGCTGACTAAAGTGACTAATTTCCTTGCTGAATTGTAGGCACCTATGGGTGAGATAACAGACTAAAGTATTTAAAGTTGCTTCATGCTCATAGCGAAGTTCGAACCCTGAACCTATGGTAAGGGTAGAGGAATCCTTTCCACTCCAACACAACCATTTTGGGGCTAGATCATAATATATTTTTTCAATAGAAATATCAACAAAGAGAGTACTTTTCTGTACGCTTTATTTTTGGGATGGGGCAATACTTGCGAACTACCTCTGTCTCAAAAAAAATAATTTACAATCAATTTTTAAATTTTATACTCCTTCCGTCCCATAATTTTATTGATAGTTTAAATTGTACTAAAAATAAAATGTCAAAGTGGATAATAATTTTGGGACGGAGAAAGTCCTGTTTTTAATATAAATTTCAAAATTTAAGTGGATTATTTTTTTCCTTCGGATAAAGAGAGTATTTTTTGTCCCTTGAGAAACCTCTAGGTTTTTTGTATGCTTTTGAAAAGTTATTGCCCCTAACTCGAGTCAAAGGTTTTTTTTTTCGCTGAAATTCTTATGATATGGATATGAAAAGTAGTTGAGACTTACCAAAAATATAAACTCAATAAAAAAGAGAGGCAATATTGCATATGATAACCGATCATATCATATTTAATGGTTAAAACAATCAATATTAACTCAAGTGATATGAGCACACTAAATATTTTGATGATAAAGGGTAATTGAGGGCTTTAATAATAAATAATAATAATAAATAATGAATAAGAATCATCAGTGCCACTAAAAATTTCTACTTTATTCCCACAAAATAAAATAAGCAAAAAAAAAAAAAAGAGAAAAGGGAATTCTTAAATAAATTGCTGCTATAAAGGAAAAAGAAAAGGAAAACAAAATTCAGGTCTTTCCAGGGCGGCGAAATACAGCGTCGTTTCAACGCAGACGTAAAAATATCCAATCCAAACACCAACGGCTGAGATCGGATCAGGAATATTTTAACACCCATCTCAAAACCCTAAAAACTCCTTGTTCATAGAAGCCCCTTATATATACGCCCCGTATAATTTTCTTCGCATTTGCGCTTATCGCAAAAACTCTTCTCTCTCCTCCATTTCTGTGTTTTGTTTTCATTTTTTTCATCCCGAATCTTTTTCTCGAGCTCTTCCCCCCCCACTTCGAAGCAGCGACGATGTCGGACGAGGAGCATCACTTTGAATCCAAGGCCGACGCCGGAGCTTCGAAGACTTACCCCCAGCAGGCTGGTACCATCCGCAAGAACGGTTACATCGTCATCAAGAACAGGCCTTGCAAGGTAGGTTAACCCCCCCTTTCATTCCATTTTTTATTGTGTTTTTTTTTTTTTGAGTTCATTTTGAGCTGAAAATTTTGATTCATTATTCGATTTAAAATTTAGGGCTCTGTTTTGCTTCTTCCGAGAATTTGGGATTTGATTTAGCATGGCTAGGTAGTTGATTGAGGAATTGGGTTCGAGATGTACGGGATGATTGTGTTTTGTTTGAGTAGGTGTGCTGACGAGGAAACATTTTAGTTTTTGTTGAACCCTAGATCCGATGTTAAATTGGTCACTCTTTCAGTCCCTCTTTTAGTGTTTTGAAAGCGAAAAGCTGTCTCTTTAGATTTAGGAGGGTGATTGTTTTGATTCGTTTTTTGTTAGTGTTATTATCCTATTTTTGATGGCATAAAAGGTCATTTCTGCTTGTTGATCTGGGTTTGAATTAAGGCTGATTAATTTGTTGAGTTCTTCTCTTATAACTGATTAATTTGAATTATGTTTTTCAAGATGTGTTTGAATGTCTGCTAAGATTTGTGTTTTGGTGGTTTTATGAGCTTTGTTCTATTATTGCTCATTCGTTATCTTACTAGTTTTTTGCTGTATGTATTTTAATAGGTTGTTGAAGTGTCAACTTCCAAGACTGGCAAGCACGGTCACGCGAAATGTCACTTTGTGGGGATTGATATCTTCAATGGGAAGAAGCTCGAAGATATTGTTCCGTCTTCCCATAACTGTGACGTAAGTTAATATGTTTGTGCATTCTGCTGCTAATGAACAATGTTTTGTTGGGTTTTTTTTCTTTTGTGGTATGATAAAAGTAAAAGTTAACTAATATTGGATTTAAACTTTTGATTTATGTGTTTCCAGGTTCCCCATGTCAACCGTACTGACTACCAGCTCATTGATATCTCCGAGGATGGATTTGTGCGTTCCTACACTAGATTCTCATGTTGATTTGCTTTTACATGAAAGTTATGTCCTAACATAGTTTTGGCACTTCAGGTTAGCCTGCTGACCGATAGTGGTGACACCAAGGATGACCTCAGGCTTCCAACTGATGAGAATCTCCTTAAGCAGGTTAGTGGATTTCCTGGGATGTCAAACTTCAAGCCAACATAGAGAACTTGTGTAGGATGGTAGTTGAAGTTTGTGTTTTATCTTTCTTTTGCTGGCTACTGTCTTCTTCCACTAAACTCTTGTTTAGATAAATGTAAGTGGATGTGGATATTATGCCTTTACTTTAGCCGCTAATCATGCCCGGTGTCATTTCCGAAAAGGAAGTATTTTTAATTTGTGGTAGGCATATCGGTGAAACTTTTACTTGATAGAGGGCAGGGTTTGGAAATCACGAGTTTATGTACAATGTATATTTTTGTTTCTTCTGGACACAGGTGCATACTACCTCTTATTTCATTGCTTGTCTGACCAAAAACAAACTTGTTTTTTCTTAGATCAAGGATGGATTTGGTGAGGGAAAAGACTTGGTTGTCTCAGTGATGAATTCCATGGGAGAGGAGCAGATTTGCGCCCTCAAGGACATTGGCCCCAAGTAGTAGTTTCAGCCGGAATTGCTCACAGGGCGGCCTCCATTTCATTCATGAGATGAAATGTATTAACTCAGGGCTTGAGAGGAGGATCATGAACCACATTACTTCTTCACCGTGTCCTTATATACTAGATTTAAAGTTGTTTTGGGGCTACAAACCTTTTTGTCCTGTTGTTTTATGAATGTGATTTTTGGTTATTTTGTGTGGGCCTACTGGAAACAAATGTAAAACCTTCGAACTTTGTTATGTTGTTACATTAAGCTTTATCAGTTAATGATTGATTCTCCTCTAATTCTATATGGTTCTTGTTTGTTTTGTTGAAAACTCGATTATACTCCCATCACCTGATATCTGGATTATTGGTGCTGCTCGTTAGGTTACATCTTTATTAAATGGCCTCCGTAGCTTCATAATCACTCTTATGACGACCTGATTCATCTACACTTCTTGTGCCGATGTAAAATGCAAATTAGTTGAAGGATGAAAGTTGGAGATTCAAATTGCGAAGAAGTTGAGATAAAATCTTGAATGATGTTCTAATTTCAAGCAATTAAGGTACTAACTCATGAATGAATAATTGGCCAACATTCTGCAACAAAATAAAATCAGCTTTTTTCGATCTAAAAGTGTTGCAATTTCATCTGCTGTGAGTTGCATGCAAAACAATATAAAGATGCAAACTTCTTGGAACTCCTTTTTGCAAGGCTACATTCTCTAGTGGCTTTTAGTGCAGCAATGCTTTGTTATTTCACGAATCTTATGATTGTTCCCTTCCAATCCTCAGGCACGTGGTGTTTTAGCCGTCCACTGAGTGCGATGATGGAGTGCTCTGTGGCTGCCTGTAGTCATTTTAAAATCTTTATAAAATTATTAACTATTGTCAGAAAGGTCATGAAGAGAGCAGTAGATGGTAAACCTTCACAATGTAGACATCAATTCCAAGTTTGGCAATCATGGCAGCTTCTGAGATTTTAGTCACCATGCCTCCAGTAGTATCATGTGCAGCTACTGTAACCACGACTGTTGATGGTGGAAAAAATCACTTTATTCAATTTCAAAGGAAAAGTTAAGCGAGTCCAAGAATTTTATTAAGCTGAAAGTCTATAGGAAGGCTCAAATCTGCAAAATCCCTTCAGAACCATGATGACACATGGCTCGATTAATCATTCCAATGTCGGGGCAAACTTCTCTAACCTTTTCTAGATGCATCTTGTACTGCAGGGTCCATGACAGACCAGCTCCCATCTTCATGTACGGCTATTCTAGTTCAGAGAATCATATAGGTTAGAAGAACTCAAAGAATTGAATAAGAACATATGATAACAAAGCAAATGGTTTCACCTATTTCCCTGAGCAGTACAGCATCAGGTTCTGTTGGAGGGCGGTCGTATACCCCTAAAACATCTGTCTGCATCATTCTTGTTCAGGAGACATCAAAATATCAACTAACAACACCAAGACCAAAATTGGAAAGAGGGAAAAAGTCGGTATCGAGTTCTTTTCAGTGACGCTGTGAAGCCACAAAATTTAGGATACAAGAAAAACCACGAATTCAGGCTTCAGTTCTGCTGCTAAATATCGTATGATGACATCCCCACTTAGTATTGTGCAATCCTGATACAGTTAAGAGGGGGTCAAAAGGGACAAATGGATAGTGATTCTACTCACCAACGGAAAACTGGTAACAAACCTGTGAAGTGTCAAGTACGGCATCTCCATGCAAAACCTGATTTATGTAATTAACACAACATTATTCTCAGAAAAGAAGAGGCATAAGATAGTAGGTCCAACATCGTAGCATTGCTATATAGGGCACTGGATAACGCAGCGTGCAAGTGGTCTATTGCAAAGAATTATTACATTTCCAATTTTATGCTTTGTTAGAAATGTCATTAGAGCTTGTTATGAGCTTGGCTTTATTCTGCAAAGAGCTTCTATCACATATCTTTTACCATACCCCCTCTCAAGTGTCATCTGCAATTCAGACGGGAAAAGATCTAGATCCGGGCCATAGCACGGGACACAACATACACAGAATCAAGAGAGAGCATCTTAAACTCTCCACAATTCTAAGAAATTAAAAGCTTCATATCTCGAACACATAGAAAAGATGTTGAAATGAATTAAACCTCGTGCACAATTTTTTCACGACTCATTTGGAACTTGTACATCAACTGTGACTATGATCATCAGGCAATCAGAATTTCCGCACCTGGAAAGGGTTAAACTCACCGGGACAAAACCTGAATCAATAGCCTTCATGACCATAGAAACATCAGCAACTTCCATCTGCACAAGATGCAAGCCAAACTATAAGTACCTCTGATTTCAGTACAAGAACCTATAATTAATAAAAAATAAAAAGAAGAAGAAGAAAAGACACTCAATCTTAATGCATAATAGTATGTAATAAATGATGAAGGTCCGTCTTCTAACATTTCTTCCACAGGTTGACCAACCACATGAAAATGGGGACATGCCAATTGAAGGAATACCCTCTGCAAACCAAAAATCTAATGGTCAAAATAACTGCACTTGGTGGAAACAAGAATCCTTCCTTATTAGCATCAAACTTAGGCTTCACAAGTTCTTTCAACAATAACCAACAGTGTCGTAGACACTTCATTTTTTTAATTTAACTTATTGATTAGACACGTTTAAACAATGCATCTTTGACATAAATGCAATTCTTCCTTATTGCAAATAGAGCTGGAAGAGTCATCATTGACAATTCTTTCAGCTTTGTGCTAATAATGGATTAGATCAAAATAGCTCATCTAAATTCTGGCGCTTCTTAATTTGGTGAAGTTTCCGGAAATCTATACATAAATGCACCAATGCATCTTGGGTCGTACTACTTAGACAACCTCTCTGTATTGATATACAGGGGTAAGGCTGCGTACATCTTGACCCCCCAGACCCCAACCGAGTTGGGAATATACTGGGTTGTTGTTGTTGTTGTTGTTGTTGTATTAGACACGTTTAAACAACTGGAAGAATTGAAAAGAACTAGAATTTGGTCTTCGTCCCATGGTAAATTGAGCATCCTTAACTGTTATTTTTCATTTCATTCAAGGCTGGGTATGTGATGATGGCATGCATGGTAACAAAAGCAAAAATCATAAAATATTGGTTTCCAATTTTGGGAATATTAACATGAAATTCTTGTATAACCTTTCAGCTGCTCAAGCTTGGGACAAGGATGAATAAGAAAATATACAGCAATAAGATTTTGGATGAATATTATAGGTTTACCTCTTGCTAGAACTCTGACAATCTCTTGGTTGAGGGAAGTGACCTGAAGCAATGAAGATTACAACAGAAAGACAGTAAATTCTAAAATGGTTAAAGAGTTATACAGCAGATGTAAAGAGAAAGTACACCATAATGACCTGCCTCACTGGCAAGGAATTTTTTAGCAATTGGATACACCTCTAAACAAGACAAATTTAGTAGCACAGGAATAAGTTCAGCTGAAAGAAGAATAACAGCATATTTCATCAATCAAATTTGACCTAAGAGTAGGTTAATCGCTTTCACAAAGGTTTGAATGGATCATTCATTTCATTTTCATCAGCTGCATTCGAAGGAGTCTCACGACAGATCACATTCAAAAATCTGCCATGTTACATTACATAAGCCAAGATGCATGTTCAAAAGTCTAGAACGTTATTTGTTGAGAAAGCAATCACCAAAGGAAAATATACAATGAAGACGAAATACAATAGAATCAAAATTTAGAATGATGGTAGTTCTCACAGAGATGCGGGTAGCCACAAAACCAGCCTTGACCAGAGGCTGGCTTAATCCTCCTTTATGAACCCCAGATTTACTAGCTTGAAAGTGTCCAAAAGAACCTGCAATTATGGTAAAGTGCCAGGATTTTTCTTTGAGTAATGAAAGTTATCCATGAGTGATTTCAACAAAGAAAATGTGCCACAAAAGTTCAGACATAAAACTTCTTAGTTCCGCATTTCTACTACGACATGGTTAAGAATGAGTCATGTGAACCAACTATCTGCTTCGCGGCAAATAAGTACATAATAGCAGCATAACCCAAAAGAAGAAGAAGAAGAAGAAGAAGAAGAAGAATCGACCTGCGCCATGGACCACGACAAATTTCTCCGAGTTGTGAACATACTGGTCACTATCGTCATCATTGACACTCGGAGCTTCCGATTCTCCTGGCCTCTTACTCCAATCCATTCCAAGTACTTTTTCAGAAGCGGAACCGAGAAGCATAACTTGCCTCAACTGTTGGGAAACAATCTTCACGTTTTCCTTGTGTATCGTCTCAAATTCATTCTTACAAGTGATTGCTGCACCTCCTGCAAGATAAATTAAAACTGTCAGTACGGAAACATCACGCCTTGTGTTCTTAGCATATAAACAACGCTTCATTTCCTTAGTATACATGTCATATCCGCTTTATCGCGCTTCTAATTCCATCCTAACTCACATGATAGCTAGGACAAACCCTTTATTTCAAAATCCAAGGTTCAATAAGTAATTCGTCTAATTTCCACAAATTCATCCACTGCAACCGTTGCAACAATTGAACCCTCCACTATCCTTCCATAAGTAAAAAACACAGACTACCATAGTTGAAAGTTGAAACCTCTTAAAAGAAAGAAAGTACGTGTACTGTGCAAAAGTAGAAGTCACTAAAACCAAGAATCGGAATCTGAATCATCCCAAATGCGGCCAATTCATGACCCTTGAGAAGATTTGCTGAAAGATAATTTAATTTGCTTGCTTAAGTTGAGATTTCAACAAACTAAGTTCATCCCAAGTTTGTGGAACTTGAGGATAGTATCATAACAGTGGAATAAAACTAAACAAACTCACTCGGACATAAACAGAACCACACATAAAACAAATGCTCAATCAGTATAGAAATCAAATGCAGACTGATGTAGAGATTACAAACCAAGTTTGACGATGCAACGGATTCTTTGAGCTGGGTTGCTGGTAGTTTTGGGTTCCATGATGATCAATGGCCTCTTCTGTGACTCTTGACGATTTTGCTTTAGCTACTCTTAATCTGAATCAGAATAAAAAAAAAGGAGATGGGAATTTCTTTTTGATTACATATCTCATTTTCACTCATTCTTGATGTGACTTGAGGGGGTTTTGGGCTTAAGAATGATGGTCTGGGCTAATGGGCCCGATTGGATATTTTGTATGGTTTAGTGTATATGAGCTGCTATCCACGTTGGCTTTATCTGAGTGGTCAGACATTCCCAATATAATAATTTAGTAAAGGCCTATTAGCAATATTCCTAGCTTACTAAGAACAATCAAATTAGTCGGAAGAATGATTTAAAATGCCTAATGCTACATCTTTCTAATGAAAAACTTATTTTAAATATTTTTGGTTGCTTCCTGGAATAGAAAGCAGAAATAGAAATTCTTCTGCTCGCACCCAACCAGTTCTCCTGCTTTTTCTAACTACTCCGGTCCTTCAATGGACACGGAGATGGAAGATTCTGCTTACCTAAGTCAAGATAAGGATAACCCAGTAACTAAAAAAGTCAAAAACAGAGATGAAACCCCCTATGACCACCAGTAACCAAACAGAATCCTAACAAACAGAACATCTGCCACCGCAAGCTGCCAAATCACCATGGGCTGATGGCACTCCATCTTTTAAGGACCGACTACTACAGGGCCAAAACAACCAGATCAAAAACGAATTTCACATGGCAACGGTCACAGTAGAGGATGAAGATGTATCTTATGGAGAAGAAGATGGAGTACCCTCAACCGATTTCTCAAAAAGAGTACACCGTCAAATGGAAGTGGCAATGACCTATACAATTGCGGTAAAACCATTGGGCGGGAATTTTAGCAGGGACAGACTCTTCAAGAGACTTAAGGGCCTCTGGAAAATTAAAGGAGAAATCAAACCAGTCGACTCCATAGATGGATACCACATGTATCGTGTGAGCAACGAGGAGGACTATTACTCAATACTCCTGAATGTACCTTGGTCGTTGGACGATGCATACATCTTGGTACTGCCATGGAGTAAGCAATTCAATACCAAAGCGGACAACATTGAAGCAGTACCAACGTGGATCCGTATTCCGGGCCTCCCAATTGAATACTTCCACGAAGAATTGATCAGAAGATTTACCAAGCCACTGGGAAGATACATAAAGGCAGACAGGAATACATTAGCAGTAGAGAGAGGTCAATACGCACGAATAGCAGTAGAATTAGATTTGACCAAATCTCTAATTGGCAAGACAAAGATCGATGGAAAGTTCTACAACGTTGAATACGAGGATCTCCAAAAAATATGCTTCTCGTGCGGGAAATACGGTCATCTGAAGTCAGAATGCAAATCTTCACCGGAGGAACCACAAAAAGACGGAAGCGATCCCACACAAACTCAAACGACTCCCCTTTCCGGCCAAGATCCGGCAACATCCACCCGGGCAACACTAACGACTAATTTTGACCAAGAGAAGACAGCTGTGACCCCACACAAACCACAAAAACAACCAACGGTAGGAGAGTGGAGCCACGCGGTCAAAATAAGCAGACGTTATAACCCAGGTAAGTACTCCAAACCCTCCCCTTTTAACCATAAACAAGAAAACTTGTTCAACCCTTTTGCAGTGTTAGCAGGCCTGGAACACGACCCAATGAGCCAACCGGCCACTTCTGGATCAAACCCACACAAACCATCAACTGGAACAAACTAACCCCAACCAGTGCATCCAATTTTGTACCCCACAATAACTTCAATCAAGGTCAATCACCCAAGACCAAAACCACATCCATCACTTTTAGTAGTACGGCCCCGAAAAATAAACCCCAACAGCCCATTACACTTTTATCAAAAAGGAAACCAGAGCAACAAGGAAGGGAAAAAGCTTGGATAAAAAGATACACCAGAACAACCCAACAGCCCCAACAACTTGACCCAAACCCAGACGAACCCAACCCAATAGCCCAGTCAGACGAGCCCAACCCAGCAACCAAAACCTATACCCAAAACAATACCCAATCAGATCAAACCATTGCGAATGACAACCAAAATGTCCCTCGATCAGGAAACCCAAGTATCCTGGATGGGGAAAAACACACAGCAGTTATTATCCCTCACCCAAACCCAACCCGAAAGACCCAAACAGAAGGAAACATGGAGGAAACTACAAATCCACCATATCCCCCTCAATTTTGGAGTTACCGCAATCCGGTAAGCCCCCGGATCCATGCAAAACCTTCAGCCTCAAGCAAAAACTGAAAATCAAAAAAGCTGGCTCTGAACCACAACCCCCAGATGAGGACATGGAATGTATAGAGGAAGGGGAAGTTGACATCCAGCATGCTGAAACCACGGATACTACAGAGATACAACCAGACATTGAGTTGTTGCCAGATGCCGGTGGGTAAGCTCATTAACTTAAAATTTTTATTGATGAATAATAAAATATTAACGTGGAATGTACAAGGGATATGAAATCTCAATACTGTTTCAGTTCTAAAAGATCTAATCAAACTTTACAAATTTCAAATATTAGTAATCATTGAACCTAGAATAAACGGAATAGAAGCTGATAGGACTATCAAGAATCTAGGATTCGAATTTTCACACAGAATAGAATCGGTACGTTTCGTCAGAGGCATCTGGATGCTCTGGAATAACTTAGTAAAAATCCACATACTAGAAAGCAACTGGCAATTCATCCACAGCAAAGTGTGTTTTTCATATAACTCGTCTTGCTATTTAACCCCAGTGTACGGTAGCCCGCAAAGGCTAACAAGACGTACACTATGGTATGATCTTGATCGCATTGCAGAAGGCATCTTTGATCCTTGGCTTGTCATGGGAGATTTCAACTCCATTGTAGAGGAAGCCGATAAAATTGGAGGAAGTCGATCCAAGGGCTGCAAGCACTTCACAGGCTGGATCAATGACAATGATATGATAGACCTTGGATTCGTCAGTTCTAGATTCACATGGAAGAGAAGTCTGTGCCATGTTAGACTTGATCGGGCTCTATCCAACAACAAATGGAAGGATTTTTTCGACAACACCAGTGTGCAACATCTCCCTAGGATAGCATCAGATCACTCACCATTATTTACCCAATTTTCAGACAAAACAAGAGTAGCAAACCAATCGAAAGTCTTCAGATACTTAGCAGTATGGGAACTCCATGATCAGTGGACAGGATGGCTAAAGGAAAACTGGAACCAGAAAATCAATCTTGCAATAGCACAAAAATCTCTCATTAGCTCACTGGAGGATTGGAAGCATAATATTTTCGGGAATATCTACAAGAGGAAATGAAGAGCTATCGCAAGGTTAACGGGCGTGCAAAAAGAACTAGCGTCCTACCCCACAAATGCTCTACAGGAATTAGAAAAGCAACTTAGAACAGAGATTGAACAAGCGTCAACACAAGAGGAATGCTTGAGAATGCAGAACTCCAGGTCATTATGGCTATCTTATGGAGATAGAAACACAAGGATCTTCCACTCCGTCCACAAACCAAAGAGGGAGAAGGTTAAAATCAACAAAAGGCAACTAGAAAATGGACAATGGTGCACGGACCAAGAGATTCTGACGAAAGAAGCAACGACATTCTTCATGAAACTCTACACACGAGGGTCACACCAGCAACACTTCAACACCAACTACCATATTCGTGGACTCTTCCCAAATATTGAAAACAAGTTGCAAAATGTTTCGGAAGCTTACCTCACAGATGAGTAAATTAGAGAAGCAATTTTCGACATGAGCCCCATGAAGGCAGGAGGGCCCGATGGTTTCAATGTGAGCTTCTACCAAAAAAATTGGAACACCATAGGAGCCTCAGTTTGTAAAGAAGTCAGAGAGGCAATCATCAAGGGACAGATCAACCCAGAGTTGAACAAAGCGATGATCGTGCTAATCCCCAAAGTCACGCCACCTAAAAGATTTTAGAACACGAGACACATAAGCCTCAATAATGTCTCAACAAAAACCATATCTAAGGTAGTGGCAAACAAGATAAAAAGAATACCTTTCCTTATCTCCCACACACAGTCCAGTTTTGTGCAGGGCAGGAACATTATTGATAATATTATAGCAGTCCAAGAGACAATTCACACCGTGCGCATGACAAAAGGAAAGTGGGGATGGCTAGCTGTCAAAATTGACCTAGCAAAGGCGTTTGATTGCATTCAATGGGAATTTATAAGAGATACGCTGTCAGATGCTAAGATCCCTGCTACATTGTTGAACATCATCTTCAGTCTACTGAACACTGGAACGACTAGAGTTCTTTGGAATGGAACGCTGGGAGAGGAATTCAAAGTGAGACAGGGGGATCCCCTCTCCCCGTACTTATTTGTACTGTGTATGGAACGCCTATCGCTGGCAATAAATGTGGAAGTAAACCAAGGACGCTGGAAACCAATCCCCTTCGGTAACGGCCAGGTAAATATCTCCCACCTCTTTTTCGCTAACGATCTAATTCTTTTTGCAGAAGCTTCTATGGAACAGGTATCCATCATCCACAACACCCTTAGGCTTTTCTGCCAAGCATCGGGCCAGACAATCAACCACAACAAGTCAGTTATGTACTGTTCGCCCAACATTTCACAAGCTACAGCGATCTCATTGAGCCAAAAAATGAATGTAAAGCTAGTTGACAATCTGGGGAAATATTTAGGAGTGCCGATCATTCACACCAGATTGACAAAAGAAGCCTATCAACCACTCATATACAAGGCCAAACAAAGAACAATGCAATGGAAACCGAACAAGATTAGTATGGCAGGGAGACTATTACTTTGCCAATCAATTCTAGCAGCACTACCAGTCTATCTAATGCAGACGCAAGTTATACCCAAAGGAGTCAGTGATGAGATAGACAAAATAAGGAGGAAATTTCTATGGGGATCAACCCCTGGAGAGAAAAAGTTAAACCTCGTCTCATGGAACTCAGTGTGTCAACCAAAAACACGAGGAGGGCTAGGAATCCGC